TTAATTGTTTGCTTAGCATTATAAATCAAAGTTTCATAGTTAATGAGTACGAACGGATGAGTTTGAGCTCTTGTTATTCCAAAAAAGAAAAAAAAAATCTTCTTGGCGTTATGTTCTGTTTTCACAACATAAGGGAGAGGAAACATGAAAAAATTTATATTATGAATGTGCAGGGCATTTGTATGTGAAAAGCGATGTGTTTGGGTTTGGTGTTGTGTTGCTGGAAATGCTTACGGGGCTGAGGGCAATGGACACCAATCGTCCGAGCGCCCAGCTCAATTTGGTTGAATGGGCCAAACCTTCTCTGTCTCAAAAGAAAAAGCTAAAGAAAATCATGGATCCCAGGCTTCAGGATGCATACCCTATCACAGGTGCCATGCAAATAGCAGAAGTCATTCTCAGATGTCTCGAGAGCGATCCCAAGAATCGTCCTGCCATGGAAGAAGTTCTTGGGACGCTACAAAGGGTCAGTGCCATCAAGGTAAAGTCGAAGGATACTGATCAACCTTCTTCTGCAGCATCATCATCATCGTCACACCAAAATCTCCGCGGCCAGACGCATTCCAGACACACTGGTGCTGGCGCCGGGTCTCGAGTCCACCTACACCCAAGGACAGCAACCGCTAGAGCATGTTGATGGCTGTTGCGCAGGAGGAAATAATTGGCAGTTAGAGTGTAGGATACATGCACAACTCTTTGGATCTTAATTGTTTTAATTAGAATAATTTCAGTACAAATGAAAGATTTGAACTAATAACTTTTGGAGTAAAAAATCACATGATAGTAATTGGGGCATAACAACAAGACTCAATACATTTTTTTTTTTTTTTTTGATTGGAAAGCCATATGCGAGCTTTATTAAGATTTTAAGAACAGGAAGTACATATTCAGATAAGGGATCGATCTCCTGTTACAATATGCTCAATGGGAAATGGTATGTCATCCACCCAAAACTCATCAGCCTCAGCAGTAAGTGCTCTTCGTGCCAGCTCGTGAGCAGCAGCATTACCAGTTCGGCGGACATGTTGTAACCGGTACGACTCAAAAGAGGCCAACAGTGGTTTGCAATCAAGAAGAATGAGGCCTAAGCTGGAGTTCATGTTGAAGGTTTCACTGGTGATTGCTGACACAATGGTTGCGCAATCAGATTCTACTATATTTCTTCTAAATGCAAGGGATTGAGCCCAGTGGAGAGCTCTCCGTAGACTGCAGGCTTCAGCAACTTCAGGTTCCACTGCTCCTTGTCCCTTGCACACCATAGCCGCCAGCACCTCTCCTGAATCGTTCCGCGCCAGTGCACCCATACCGAACGCTGCGCTTTGGACAGATGTTGCTCCATCTACGTTTAGCTTTATAAAACCCAAGTCTGGTGGGTGCCATCTAGTTTCAGTGGCCTTCTGCACTCCTGCAGCCCCTATGCCTCTTGATAATACAGATTTCCTGTATTCTGTCATAAAAGTCAAGGTTCGTTGGATGATTTGCTGCGGATTAATGCCATTTTTGTTCCATAGAGCATCATTTCAGCTATTCCATAAGCTCCAACACAACAAGCAGAAGAGTTCAAGTTGCTCTTTCCCCAAAATACATGCTGTGTTATAAAAAAAAAAGTAGCATAGTCATCAACCTGGAGTTCAGATACGTGAAGGTTCAAAGGGCATCCTAGCCATACTACACGAGCAAGGGGGCATGACATAAGGGAGTGAAAGACAGATTCTTTCTCCACACCACACATCGGACACTCTAAATCCACCTCTTCCCCCTTTTTGTGAAGATTGTCCTTTGTGGGAATAACATTTTTGTAAGCACTCCAGATAAACAATCGCACCTTCTCTGGGATGTCTAAGGACCACAACCGGTTGCCGCCAAAGATTGTGGAGGACGCAGATGGCCCAGCATGATTTCTGGCCATATTAATAGCTCTATGGCACCTAGATCGTACTGTGTAACTTCCATGTTTGGTGAAATGCCACAACCAATTATCCTCCCTTCGCGTCCAACTCAAAGGCATTGCTAATATCAGTCGGGCTTCATGTGCAATGAAGGTCTCAAGAACCAAATCCCTCCTCCATGAGGTTGTCTCTTCATCGATTAGCTCACTTACAAAACAGAGGGTGCAACCTTCAGGTCGGAGCGACTCAACACATTAATACCACCAAAATAATAATAATAACAATAATAATAATAACAACAACCAGTACAAATAACTGATATTTTATTGATCAGGATCATAAGGTAAATTCATATAATGACAGACAAGTTTGCTTTTTGTAAAGAGTACAATACAGGAACCAAAAGTTCAAGAATTCAAGTTCATATTTCAACTCAATGCTTAGGACATGTTCACCCGTGCAACTCTTTAAGTATCCGGGTGTTTTCTCGTTCATATGCTTGGCCTCACATTGAGACGGGTTGCTAGCTTCTGACCAAGAGATTTGTCAGCCTGCATTGCACAGCAGAAATGTGTACATTATTGTCGTTCAAGTATGGTAATTCACAAAATTAGAATTATCAAGGTCGCAATGAGGAAGTTTCAGGAGCCTTTCGGGAGGGAACTGAGGTCTCACCTTAGTCCAGTATGAGACCCAGATGCTTTGAATCTCATGGGTGACACGTGGGTCAGATAAGGCATCAACCCATCGGCAAACGAATCTCTCTTGCCTGGTAATAAAAGGCATAGCAAAGAGAGGAAACAAATGTTATGATTAATACATTAATTCTATTTAAAAAGTAACAGGGATTGAAGAAACCTGTCTGGTGCCCAGGATCTGTATCTCTCTCCCGGCTGTTTGAAGTTGTTCTCCTTCTCAATGACGCACTGCATCAACGAACAAAAACCGTATGTATGTTACTTGCACCATGAAATGAAGGAAAAACACTGTTGCAGAAAATACTAGAAGCACTGACTGTGCTAACTTCAGAAGAGAACAAGACACAGAAGTTAGGAAGATCCCTTAAAAGTTGCTAACCATGCAACTTTCAACTACCTCTTTCCCACAAAAGACAGGCCAAGAAAGGAAGCCTTTTCTGGAAAACACTCTGTGCTCAGTTGCATAATACCATAACCATTTCAAGAAAAAGCTCACTCTAATTATTGAACTTCTATGCTATACATAACCTATGAATCTAATAAACTTGTTATTTACCTGGTAGTAATAATATGTGCTTTTGCATATAATAATAATAATAATAATAATAATAATAATAACAATAAAAACCTTGCCATTATGTGCTTTTGCATCATATATGGCTGGAAAAAAATTGCGTCAGTAGCTTCTTAAGCAAAATCTCTCTAAATCGGGCAAACTATTGCAGAGTCAAGCTGCAGAAAAACCTACCCTTGCACAATTAAAAATTTAGAAACTTGGTGTTGAGTAACTAATTTGACCCCCACGAATACCACTTTCATAATTGGACAGATATATTAGTAGGAACTGACCTTCTCACGCTTTCCAGTGCAAACAGCAGGAGGAATAGGAAATCTCTCAGCATGACGAACAGGATCGTACCTTGAAGGGAAGTAATTGACCTGTAAAACAGAAGTATGACACCAGATATGGAGACAGTCTAACAGAAACAAGAAAGAAAAGAAAAAGAACAGATGTCAACATGTAGCAATACAAATGCATACAACACTCGTGCCTTAAGGTATGCATTCCAATAATAATCTATATTCTCCTTGAAGATAAATATATAGTACATAGTTAATTAGGCATCATCACAGATGAACCAAATATATATATAGATGCCAGAAACAATTATTATAATTGGAAAGGTGAGCAGAAAGTAAATATGTACCTCTTCATCCCTGTGCATGAAATTCATGAAACCCTCATGGTGGTTGTTGTGATGAGCACACTTGGGAGCATTGGCTGGGAGTTGCAGGTAGTTTGGTCCAAGTCTGTGCCTCTGTGTATCAGAATAGGAGAATATTCGAGTCTGGAGCAACTTATCATCTGAATAGTAGACACCAGGAACCACAATAGAAGGGCAAAATGCTAGCTGTTCATTTTCTGCAAAGAAGTTGTCAATGTTCTTATTCAAGACCAAGCGTCCAACAGGCTGAAGAGGCAATATGTCCTCTGGCCAGGTCTTGGTCACATCAAGTGGATCAAAATCAAATCTGTCTTCATGATCAGGATCTATTGTCTGGATGAAAAGTTTCCACTCAGGATAGTTGCCAGCTCCAATTGAGTCATAGAGATCCTGAGTGGCATGGCTGTGATTAGCCCCTCCAACCTTAATTGCCTCATCCTCCAACAGGCACTTGACTCCACAAGTGGGCTTCCAGTGGAATTTCACATAGTGTGCTTTTCCAGCCTTGTTGATCAGAGTATAGGTGTTAACACCAGAACCATCCATGTGCCTGTAATCTTGTGGAACACCCAGATCATCAAAGAGGAAGGTGAACATGTGTAAGCTCTCAGGATGGTGGGAAAAGAAATCAACGATCCTCCAGTTCTCCTGGATATGAGACTTGGGGTTGGGTTTAAGTGCATGAACCATATCTGGAAATTTCATTCCATCACGGATAAAGAAGACGGGGAAGTTGTTTCCAACAAGATCAAAGTTACCCTGATGCACAAGAAAAGTTTATGATATGAATACATCAACAAGAAGGAATGAATAAATTCCATAGCCTAATGCACTATTAATTGAGATCTATTTACATGAACATTAGACGCCAAAAAATTAAAGTCTACATTACTATGAAATGTTAAAAACCATATACTAAGCAACCACAAGCATTGCCCATCTTATCACCCTAAATAAAAGGTTGAAACAATTAGAAAAGGCATACCAAGTTTCCATGGTTACCATTAGCCAATATTTTAAAAATTAGCACACACAAAAAACACGTCTAACTCTCACCTCTCTAGTGTAAAACTTCACAGCAAAACCACGAGGATCTCTCAGAGTTTCAGGACTGCCACGCTCATGGATGACAGTGGAGAAGCGAACAATGACAGGGGTCTGAACTCCAGGGGCTCGAAGAAAGTCAGCACATGTGAGGTAAGAAATGTCATGGGTGACCTCAAAAAAACCCTTTGCACTTGCTCCCCTAGCATGGACAACACGTTCTGGAATCCTCTCTCTATCAAAATTGGCGAGCTTTTCAACCAGATGATAATCCTCAAGGAGAATAGGACCTGTAAAATACAAGTGCAAAACATAATTGCCTGATTCAATTAAAAAAACTGAAACATATCAATTAAATAACTTCACCCAAGTCTTAAAACTGGCAGATAAAGAGGTGTAGCAAAGCTCCTCACCCAATTCTCGTACACAAAAAGACCAAAACACCACCACAGATACACAGAAAATGTTTCATACTCAAGACCAAAAAACCACCACAAATACACAGAAAATGTTTCATACTCAAAAGACCAAAAAACCACCACAAACACACAGAAAATGTTTCATAGACAAAAGACCAAAGCCCCACCAGAGAAAATGTTTCATACACAAAAGACCAAAACCCCACCACAAACACACAGGAAATGTTTCAATGATATTAAAACACAATTCAAGATGGCCCAATAAACTATTTAGCATACCATAAACTGCCAAATAACCAAAAAAAAACACAACACCACGTAGTTACAAAAAACAAAGGTTATCTCAGAAGCGAATGAATACCTCTAGATCCAACAGTCAGCGAGGAGTTGTTGTTCCAAACAGGAGCACCAGAATTAGTGGTCCAGAACGGGGAATTGAAAGCACTTGAAGGACGGTGCTGCATCAACACAAGAAGAAAAAAAAACACTCCCAAATAAAGATTCATACAGAATAAGATAATCAATCAATTAACAATACATTGACTTAGATTCACCTAAACCACTCCCTTCGCTATTCAATTTTTCCCGTTTTCACATCAATAATATTGATTTCAACGCCGGAAATGATTAATCGGAAACAACTCCGGCATGATTTTCCCCAAAAAAAACTCAAAATCAAAAGGATAAATCCCACCCAAAAAAAAAAAAAAACCACAAACATAGAATACAGAGTTCGATTAAGAATCCATAATCGAGATTAAAGAGAAACAGCACCTTGTACGGATCCATGGAGACGTCAAGAAGTTGGTGAAGGTGGGTGACACCTTTTAAGAGGAAACGCAGAGGAGAGAAGAGGCGTAGGAAGAAACCGCGGGGGGAATGGGAAACAATTTTGGTGGATATATATTAGGAGTAGGAGTGGGTGTGGGTCGCGCCTTTTGATTCGATGATGGGCCATTATCCGTTCACACAATTTTATATCGTATCGGCAATTTTACGTCTCGCCCACCCCACGATATCAGCACGTTAAGGTCTGTTTGGCGAGATCAACTTTATTTAAAGGTTCAATGTCAATTTTGATCCCTCAATTTTAAGTTTTACATAATTTTCATCAATTAATTTTTTTATATATTTTTAATCCCTTAATTATGAAAAATATATTTTTTTAATTTTTTCATCAATTAATCTATTAAGTTAATCTAAATATGAACCTTTTTAGTCCCTTAATTTAAAGTTAAAAGATGAAAAATATGTATATATTAAAAATTGAGGGATTAAAAATATATATATTTAAACATATTTAACAAAAAAAAAACTTAATGAATTAACTTATGATAGAATTAAAAAGAACATTTTTTATAATTGAGGGATTAAAAATATATATATAAAGTTAAGGGATAAAAATTATGTAAAATTTTAAAGTTGAAGGACCAAAATTGATATTTAACTTTATTTAAAAAGATTTTATCATATAGGTAATTGGATTTCTAAAGTTTTTATTGAAATATATTAAGAATGTACTTAATGAATGGAACGTTAGAAATTATGTTTAGAAAGTTAATGATTTTTTAAACAAAATTTTATTAAAATTGTAAAATTTTTTATGTTTTATAGGAAGTTAATATAGAAAAAATTTCTAAAATGATAGTAAATAGGTTTTATACTAAGAAAGTTTGAAGTGAAAGGTTTTTGTTTTCAAAAAAAAATTATGAGAAGAAAATATTGTTTATTAAAAGTAATGTTAAAAAAATAAAAAACTACAAATATCAATTTTATACTTCTCTTATAAATTGAGATGTAAAAATATAAAATTAACTCTAAATATTTTAAGTAAAAGGAAAATCCCAACCAAACGCACTCTTGGTGGTTTTGTTCGAGGAAAGGAGGGGAAGGATGGATGAATTGTTTGGACCAATTATATTGCATATTCGTGAAAGTTTTAATTTAATTAATTAAAAAAATCACTTCTTCCCATTTTTATAACGAGTAAGGCTAAATGTGCATATGTGTAATGATTCATGCATTCTACCTAAACAAAAATAATAATAGAACTTATCTCATACGTCATAACAAAAATTTTATTATTAATAAATATTGTTAATAGGTATAATAACTTTGATTTGAGGGTCATAGAGGGTTAAAAATAGAAGAATATTTTATTCTTTTATTTTTATTTATTTTTTTATTACTCATTTGGATAAATAAAAATATTTAAAAATAAATAAAGTATAAGGCTTTCCTTCTATCTCCTCCTCTCTTTTTTTTAAAATTATTTTTTCATCAAATAAAAAAATTCCCTCATTCTCTTAGATCAAACATATTTATAAAGTATTTTGAATAATAAAAATACAAATATCCAGTGCACATGTATTTATTTTGATACCGTTCGATAAAATTGCAGGTAAAAGGAAGTAAAAGGAATGGAATGTATTTGGAAAGAAAAATTGAGTAAAAATTTTTCCCAATAATTTTTTTGTGTTTCCTTTTATACAAGTATGTTTTCTTGTTAAGTATTTTTTAAATTATGTTTTTGCATAGTTTATATTTTTTTTAACAATCAAAATATTTTTAAATTCATCATGTTTTATGACTACTCACGAGTAGCGAGTGAATGAGTTCGTAAGAAATTTTTTCGATTTAACTAAAAGTATTAGTTTCAAATCTTAAGAATGCAACTCTATTAAAACTCGTGAAAGAGAGTTTTATCGTCTGTTAGATCTTATTTAGCTCAAATTCGGATTAATCGATGACCCAGTGAACTTCCATATATCGGGTGATTTATATAAAAAAAAAAATCATGTTTTATGACTAAAAAATTAAAAAAAAAGAAAAAAAAGTTACCTTCGTCTTCTTATAAAATCAAACCTTATTATAATATTTTTATATTAAAGTATAAAGCGAAATTACATATATAATAAAATTCAGAATTTCACTTCAGGAAGTATTTTTTGGGCAAAAGAAAAAAAATTTGATGGGATATATATTAAAGCAATTTATCGCCAGGGGACTGGAGATAAATTCGAAGTCCGGCCGATATTTGTGTTGAGTGGGTCCCATGACTATAATTATGTACGTAAAATAATAATTGTGAACGTTTTTCGAGGGGAGTTCCTTATCCCGAGTTTTGTTCTTATGTATACACGTAATTGGCCACCACACATGGAATGTGGTTACTTGGACCGCTGTGATTTAGCCACGTATTTATTTTTTTCCCTTTAAAGAAGAGTTTTTTCCAACAATTTTCGGTTTTTTCCAAGCTTATCATCTTGTTAATTTTTTTTTAATTGTCTTTTCCTATAGCTTGGATGTTACTTCCTTAGCTTTTTTTTTTCAGTAGATTAAAATTTTTTTTTTGATAAAATAAAGATATAATAATTAATTAATTAATTTTTATATTTATCTTAATTAAGTATTATTATTTAAATAAATTTTTATATTTATCCTTAACATATATTAAATAAATAATTTCATTTAATATATGTTATAATTCTCATTTAAAATGATAATAAAATAAAAATAAACGTATTAAATAATATTTTAAAATAAATAATTAATAACTAAATTTAAACATTTCATTCAATAACTTAAATAATTTAAAGATAATTTTTTTTTACTAAAAAAAAAATTATGAGTTAAAATTGTATAATATCAGAGTAAATTAAAAGTAAAAGATAAAAAAACATTGATTTTTATTATGCAATCAATATAAAAAGAATTAACACTTCAGATAAAAAAACTAAATTTACTCAAATCGAATAGATTGAATAATAAATTTTTACTTAATAATAACAATATTCTAAGAGTAGTTTATAGTCTTTTGAGTATTAATCCAATTGAAATTCAATTAAAAACAAGTTATATATAGAGTAACATTAAAAATTTTCGAAAAAATATTATGGTTTTATTGATTCATTTTTAAAAGGTTAAATGTATAAATTGCCTTTCAAAATTGCACCTAACCCTTCGAATCAAGTGACCTTCAAGCCACTTTTAAAGTGCAGTCTCCCTTCCCCTGATTGATTCGAAATTCGAAACCCATCCATGATACTTTGTTCAAAAAAAAAATTACTTTTCAAAATTATCACGTCAAGATAAGTTATCATTCAAAAAAATATTAACATAATTTATTATCTCAAATTTTTATTTTTAATAAATCAATCAAAATTTAATGGTCATGTTAAATTTTATTAGATTGTTATTGTTGACATTCAATAAAATATTAATGATAACAGTTAAATTTACATTAATTTTTTAAAATAAAAATTTAAAGAGATAAATTATATCAATATTTTTGCAGTGACAATTTACTTCCATACAATAATTTTTTTTAAAAATCTGCACTTTTTGCCCTTCGTAAAATCAAACGTAATTATCACATTTTTATATTTAAATTATAAAGTAATATTATATACATAATCCAAATTTCACTTTTTTAG